ATTCTTCTTTAGAGTATTTATCCTTATTGCCCCATTATTTCTTATTTGCATTTTTCTTCCTTCATACATTATTATATACACATTTTCCACGTTTAACCTTTCCACATTTATTCTCTCTTATTTCTACTCTCTAGCCAGTCATACCACTTGCTCCATATTAAATAATATTCTGTGTCTTCTTTTTCTTTTATCTCTTTTGCTAATTTGTCCATTTTTATTTTTTTTAAAGTAGGTTCCATAGCTTAAAAAAGTTTGAAATCCCCTTCTATACCAAATAAAGCTTAGGTGATTGGGATGGCTATTCTCAACGATTCCTAGGAGTTGCAGTTTTCTAATGTGTTGAAACTTCATAGAAAACTACAATTTCCAGAGTTATTTGTAGCAGAAAGGAATGGATGCTAAACTAGTTCAAATCAGTAAGAGGAGAAAAAAAATACTGACAGAGTAGTAGCACAAATACCTAGGATTTGGCCTGGTATGAATTTTTTTTGATGAGTCTGATGCAATTCTTGACATTTTTCCCCTTAAACTTTAACAAATTCAAACCAGTTGTGTATCTTTTAAAAACAAGCAGAAACAAATAGGGACATGCCTAATGGCAGTGTTTATTTTTACCACTCTTAAGCATTTTTCATAGAGGTGAAAAAGGCAGATGTTCTTCTGGCTTTTCCCCATCTGACTTAATTTACATTCTGTTACAGCTTTCATGAGAAGTTTATAGCCAGTATTTTGAATTATACTGAAGTCTGGCTGTTTTTGCTTTTCATAGTTATAAAAAAATGCACTCTCCCTTACATTTTAATTTAAACATATGTTAAAGTTTTCAAAGTGTCTAGGAATCATTATGATTTGGAATCTGTCAAATGGAAACAGTTGGTGGATTTTTGTACAATAATTCAAAGCATGCCCAAACAATATTTTGAGCAAGGTCTTTAGAAAGAATTTAGTGTGATATGTTTGTTATCCACATTAAGTATATGGATGGATTGTGTATATGGGAGGGGGGGAATGGATTTGTTTGATGGTATGAGGGATGAAAACAATCTGTAGAGTAATATTTGTTACTTCCAGCAATTTCATTTGGCTAAGTTTCTCTCCCTGTATTCTTCTTTCAAGTGTTTGAATATTCAGATAATGGTTAAGAGAAATTGCACAGAATTTCCAGATATTTTTTAAACACTGCATGAAAGTTTCATAATTTGCAAGTTACTATCAGAGGAGGAAAAGGGAGAAACAGAATGCTACTGATGGAGAACAAAAGTGGGATATGCTGCTTGATATTGTCTATCATAATTAGCAACTCTCAAGTCTTCATTCCAACATTACATTTCTGGAAAAACTGCCATGTTAGTTTGTGGCAGAAAAACAAAACAAAACAACAAAACAAAACAGCCTTCTGGCACCTTAAAAAATAAAAGGATGCCAAAGCTTTCATATCCATCTCATTAGATGCATGAAGTATCATCCTGAATAAATTACAGCTATTATCAAGCCTTGGACACACTGGAAGAATCACATTCTTTCAGGAGGAAAAGGTAAGTGCAATCAGGGTTGAGAATATGTGCACCAGAATCACAGTTGTTTAGGCTTCCTCGTACATATAACTAGCAATTGTTGAATTAACATCCCCCATAGAAAGGAACTTAGTGGCTATTTTCTTAAGTGTTAGTTATGTGTGACCTTTAAATTTATTCTAAAGAGCACATTAATTTTCTGACAGTGTGAATGAGATACTACGCTAAGTTACCAATAATTATTTATTGTAGAATGACTCCCCTTCCAAAGAAAAAGAAAAATATAATAATGTTATGAAGAAACTCTATAGAAATCCAACTTAGAGCCACAGATCAGGAAACTGAGTTTGGCTGTACATAAAAAAGATGTATTAATATAATTATGAACTGGTAACATAATTTTTTTTAAAAAAATAATCATAATATCAAAATATACACAACTTTAAAAAATACAACTACAAATCAAAAAGGAATGTAAATTAAGCCTTGCTGAATTTTGCGAGACACAAAGTGATGTTTCAGATTTGTCCACAAGGTGTCCTTAAGCACATCTGCTTTGGAATACTTTTAATGCTGTCCCAACATTACAAATTCTCCACTAACTAATGGGAATGGCAGCAGACCTTCTGAACTGCAAAAAGATGTCTCTGACAAAGAAACTGTGATGGACAAAGGAATGTTAATGCCTGTGTTTTAAAACTGAATGGAAAAGCTTCTCCTGTTGCTAGGATAAGTACAATTCTTAGACAGACTGCTTCCCCCCCCCCTTTTAAGTGATTATAGAAAGTATTTAATTCAAGAAATTTTAATTACTAGTTCTGCCATTAGTATATGGATATTACTTATGGAATATAAAGTATAGTCATGTGTTACTGGTGGCTAAGACCCTTATGCTTCTTGTTCATATAAAATCCTGAAATTGGCCTACTGAAAATGGACTGTTGGAAAACAAGACACAGGAGAGTGTCACTTTCTACATTATTAAAAAAAAAAAGCAAGATTACAACTATTACAATACATTCTTATTCATTACAAATAAGTTACAATGTGTTACTAGTGCTTTAGGTATAAAGTTACAGAATTGCTTCTATATTATGCTACTCTGATGTGATCCTTAAATTTCAGATTTTGGGCTGAAATTAACTGTTAATTGTCTTAAAATCAGTTCTTTCTGGTGAAAGCAGCTTTGTTTTTCTTTATAGGAATGCACACTAGAATTTGACAGAGGGAACTTAGTCCTATTAATTCTCCTGAACATTAGTGATATCCTAAACAGGCTATTAGCCTCCCTGAATTAAATAAAAATAAATCAACAGGCAACTCTTTAAAAAAAGGTCACCAATTGTTGGAACTAAGCCACTGTATCACTTGTATAAACATTTTTTTTAAATATCTTCCCCCTTTCATGTTTTATCTCTATATAGAAGCCACTTCTTTTGATTCTGTATGGGCATCGGCACCTTTTCTGTGTAACATTCTATTTGTCTGTCACTTGATACAGCCCATGCAGATTTTATGTAAGTACCAGTACTCTATATCTTTCTCTAATCCTTATTATTAACTTATTAAAATGACCCTTCATAAGACACAGGCTATTATTTCTTTTAATGGGCACTAACTAATATCACTAGCACATATAACTTAAGTAACAATAACAACAGAATAACAGAGTTGGAAGGGACCTTGGAGGTCTTCTAGTCCACCCCTCTGCTCAAGCAGGAGACCTGTACCATTCCAGACAAATGGCTGTCCAATCTCTTCTTAATGGACCAGCCACAACTTCTGAAGTAATAACAAATACAAAATAAACTGAACCTGGATTGATGTCCATGAGAAATAATGATTAGAAATGCTAGTTAGCTTAACCTCCACTTCTTTACTTCCAGGATATCTTGTTCACTTAAGCTTTTGTCTGGAACAATACCCACTTTCTTTTGTTTTTGGAAACATTGGGAAAATAATGCACTGAAGAGGGCTTATATCCTATAATTCATTCTTTTTTAAAAGGACAGAGTGAGAGATAATGTTTGCCTGTTGCTTCCTCCTTACATGAACATAGCAACAACATTTGCAAGATATTCAAGTGATAAATATCTATTTAATGGGTTAGTATACAATTTGGTTAAATGTTTAGTTTAATTTTCTGTGAACTACCATATTGTTGGATGGAAGGGTGGCTGAATTCTTAAAGAGCAAAACAATAAATATTGAAGCACAATTCTCTTCAAGTGCAGCTAATAAGGAGCAGTACCTTTTGTGGGTCTAAGTACCAGTTAGTACAAAAATACAGCATCTAGATTACTTCCTGGAATCAGTCCTCGGGAATACAACCACCCTTTTAAAAATATTATTTTCTGCAATCAAACGTTTTTGGTCTGTAATCTCTAAAAATCTGAGACTAGGCATGTTTTCCTTCCCACAAGCCTATATAGAAATTAAAGTCTGCAATGGAGATTCTTCTGTAGACTCTTACAAAAAGAGTTTGGCATGGTCTCCTCTGCTGTGATTGGCTACACTAGAATGGACACTTTCCTGGTACCAACCTTTCTATCTGGCCAGTGTGTATTCTATTTGGGTCCATTTATATGTGGATGTTTGAGGTTTTTTAAATCGTCTGATGGCTTTCTTAAATGATTGCCTATTATTTTAAAGAAGCCCAATTTGAGGATTTCATTTAAAAGGAGTGTTCATTCAAAAAAAAACAACCTACTTGTCCACATTGAAAAAAAAATAGAAAATACTATATCATGAATGTCCATAGACAAATGATACATCTTTGAACGTTAAAAACTAAAGTTGCTTTAAGATGCCCATACGCTTACTAATGGAAACTGTATAATGAAAAACAGCTCCATAAAGTAATCCCCAACAAAGGTCAACCATATGACATGTCTTGCCTTTTCAATAAAAGGTGGAGTTCCAGGATTAGTAAAGCAATGAGAAATAAACAAAAACAAGACACACACAGGTGCACATACAAAACACGGGAGTATCTGTAGGCTCTAGGAATATTACTCTAAATACCGTTCCTTAATGACAGCATTAACATTTCATAAGCATATTTTTCTCCATAAAAACAGCTCACTTCTTGCGTCATTGTATGTGATCATGTCTGAGTAATCTATCTCTGAAAAATAGCAAGGCCTCTGTCTGCCAAAAGCTACAAGCTCAAGCATACATGTAAGATGCAGTTCCTTTAATTTTTTGCATACAATACTTCGCAGTATGTCATAAAATCAAGTTTAACCATGAATATAATATGCTATGAGAAGAAATGTGTTCTCATTGCTTCTGTGTTTGTGAATCGATGTAAATAGTTCAAGATCTAGAACATAAGAGATGTTTGGATTCTGAACTCAAGTTCTCTCCCCTCTGCCACCAAAATATTCATAAACTCTAATACCGATTAACCTGATATTCTGCCAAAACACTACCACAGAGCTGATATAATAATTACAAAATCTAAATCTGAGTCAGCATACTATGAACAACATATATTGTATCCTAAATGGGATATGGGACTGGGTGCAATAGTGCAATTTCTCTTTTTTATATATAGCAAAGGAGACTAGAATGAAAAACAAATGAAGGATACTGTCTATTGATAACCTCTGTAAAGATTCATGGAATTACATTTTATGAGATACAACTACAAATCTTGTAGTTTCTTAAACTACTATTCAATATAATTGTTTAAAAATGATTGGCAAATATACAGTATTAATGTTTGTCAACCTATAGCAAGGCAGTATTTTTTTTCAGACTGCTTGTAATAAAACAAGAAAATTAAGACTCTGGTTGTTTCAGCGGGCAGGACTAGCCTAGGGGTATTTTAAATTGGTTTTAACTAAATTTTAGTAGAAGCGGCCTATTCAAATATTTATTTTTAATTATTTTCTTAAATTTTGTATTTTGTATTGTATTAAGTTGTTTTTAAAATGGCTGTAAGCCGCCCTGAGTCCTCCGGGAGAAGGGCGGCGTATAAATATAATAAATTCAAATTCAAATTCAAATTCAAAAATGGGTTATCATTGGATATTAGCTAGTTGCTTCTTCACATTTCATTTTCAGGCCAATCAGCTAAATGCTGAATATATATTAGTCGAAGAATTAAAACTTATTGCCTAATTTAAGGGCCAAGTATATAAAGGGAATATTGAAATCTTCTGTTGTTCCAGCTCATCATTCAGTTCATATCCAGAGAACAGCACCAAGAATAAAACCATAGAGATACTGTAATAGGCTGCTACCCAAGTTTCTGAATAATGTTAATAAATTACAATTTATATCAGTTCAAGTTTTGGTCCTGTTTTTTGAATGCAAGAATTTCTATTCTGTTTGTTTTAAGAAGAATCTTTTTAATAACTAGAAAGGAATGAATGTACACCCTTCCCTGAGTTCTGTGGTCAGTTTATTTAGCCACAGTAGCAACACAGGTTATAGCTGTTCCACCACAAGTCACAGGAGAGGGACAAAAAAAAAAAAAAGATGGGCTGGCCCTACCATTATTAGCCAGCTGAACATCACGCCTAAGTATAATAGCTACTCTATATGAAGGAATAAACAGGCAACCAATTGCTCATCTAGGCTGATTTTTTTCTCTGCCCTTCTGAAACAACAACAAAGAATGCACCCACTCCAGAGACATGGACTAAAATATACCTGTATGTCCAGCTACCAACAAAGTTCCTGTCCTAGATAAACAAGTCATTTAAACACAGCATATTTAAATGATTTCACTGATCTGACATAATTTTATTGTTTCAGAACAAAAGAGTCACTTATAAGCGATGTATATCCTGCATTTTACAGATATGTTGCTTTAGAACTATACAAAACAACTAATTCTAAACTGGTCAAGGATACAAGTTTGAAACTGTCACTAGTCTGCTAAACCACATCTTACACACAAATTCCATGTATACATCAGCACAATACAGGTCAGGAAGTGTTTCTTCTTTTTGCTGATATTAAAAGGGAGACTTTTTTCAAGCCTTTTCTATGCTTTAAGAAAAAGAAAATCGGTAATGCCTATTTCAAAAACAAACAGAAATCAAAAGGGCATTTCAGGTTGTTGTAATCATTCTCGGTAAACTTGTTCTTACCTCTTTGCAATTTCCTGCATATTTGAAAATCAAGTTCCTTGGCAAAGATGATTCGGCCTGAGTTATGGTGCAACCTTCTGCAGAACTGGGTTCTGTGGGATGATCATTTACAATGTAGGTACACTTGTCTTCAAATTCAGCTTCTGTCCATAGAGTCATATCAGCATCCTTCATGTCCATTTTCATTATCAATATTGTCCTTTTTCTCTGTCCCTTGGAATTCACAATATATGGGCTACACTGTGCGGCAGCCTGGAAAATATATATATACACATACACACATTTGTCATTCTCTTTTCAGTACTGCTGGCAAGTAGATCTAAATGCCTATCTGGGAACACACTGAGGACATGAGCAGGACAGCTGAAAGTTGCACTTTGGGGCTGACTTCCCTGACACACCATGTTCAATAGCTAAAGCTAGTGGGGAAAAAAAGAGAAACCCTCCACATCTCTTTTAGATTGTTTCTTTATAATCTGAATGGAGGGGGGGGATGGTGATCTGAAAGCAAAAAACTTGTGCACAACACAGCTTGTTGGAAAAGTGCACTAAGAAAGTGTCATAAACAAGGAAAGGAAAAGGAAGGAACTGCTTGCTGTCTGCGTCTCAAAGAGCTAAAAATGGAAAGTGCATGCTGGAAGAGCGGAACCTGGCTTGCTTTTTCCAAATGAGGAAGACTGAACTTTCCCACAACTTCCAACATACGAACAACTTTTAAAAACAACATCCCCCCTCCCTACCCTATATTGACTTCCTCTTATCCTCGGGAATGGAAAACTGAGGAAGGCTGCATCCTGCCGCTATCACTCCAGAAACAATCCAAAATAACTAGAAATACTACTCAATTAGCATATTCTTACATATTCCAAAAAGCGTGTAAAACAAAAGTGAACTACGCTGAAAATAGTTCATGGCTTACAAGATGGATCGCAATGCTTCTATGTCTAATAGTGGCTACGCAGTCACAAAATTCAGAGACAAGATATTGTCTTTCATCTAGATTCCTCATCCATGGTGCAGGTACAATATGAAAGGCCTACCTTACAGTGTTTGAATATTATTATTGCAAAAAGTATTATTTGTCTTTCTTTAGAAAAGAATATCACACTTTAAACACAGGAGAGTAGTATTATTATAGAAATATGAACAGATTTATAATAGTACAATTGTAACATTTAGCTTTACAACTATCCCTATGGTAGAAGTAGCAAACTAATTTGCATATTAAAAACAAGTTAACTTACCATTCTGTTTCCCCCAAGTAAAAAGACAATGAATTAGATCAGGGGTCCCCAACCCCCGGTCCGTGGACCAGTACTGGGCCGCGGCAAGCCAGCAACTGGTCCGCACAAGCAAAGCCCCATCTGCGGGATACAGGCAGCACACGAAACCATGCACCCTCCGGTCCGTGGAAAACCCTCTCTCTATGGAACCGGTCCCTGGTGCCCAAAAGGTTGGGGACCTCTGAATTAGACTATAGCTTTTCCATAACAAAAACCCGAAGCTCCAGAATTATACTACTAATCCTCTGGACTGAGATCAAGTAGGTCCCAATACAAAGAAATATTTTGAAAAAGTTAAAAAAACAAAACAAAACCTGCTTAATTCTGTATTTTCTCACAGAATTCAACTCTGGCAGGCTTATTAGTTCTTCAGATAAATGCTGATAGGATCGATTCCAGAGACTTTAGCACCATATGAAAAAAGCTTCACACTGTACACACTAGGAGAGCGAAGTAATAGTGAAACTCAACTGACAGTTGCTAGTAGCAGTGAAAGAATTAATCATCATAAAAATAAAGATCCCTTGAACTTTAAGGCACCTTAGAAAGAGCACTTTCAAGAAAAAAAACGATTGCCACTGTCAACGTGCTTCTTGCTGTGTTTCATTCAAAAAAAACCCCTCTCAAGCGATCTGAAAAAAAGTTGCTTACCAAGGTACAGTCCACAAATACTTCCAGCTGGCAGCCTGGCGTTTCAGGTAAGTCTCACACATATCTAAAGAGTAAACATTTCTCCTGCCTTCCACTTGGCCCGTGGAAGTAAGACTGACTCATGCCTCGAGATTTAACTCTTGTTGCTTGGGCTGGCTTCTCAATCACGAGTTCTCTCTCCCTGTCACAGGTGCTGCTGTTCTTAGGCTTTAACTTCTTTTGAAAGACTGGAGGGCTGAGTGTTTCAGTCTCTACTAGCGAAACAGACTCTTCCTTTCTCCTCCCTGCTACCAAGTTTCCAATGAGCCAGTCATTTCTGATTTACTCACACTCAGAGCTGTCAAGAGCAGGGGTGGGGCTATACCTGCAAGTCACTCAGAGTTATCCAATGAAACTATAGTCAGAAGGAATTTTTCCTTTCTGAAAATCACAGCAATGCAGATTTTCCAATTAACACGTAAGCTGATTAATAGGCTGGTGGCACTGGAATTATCTTCCAAGGGAAGGGGAAATATTTGATGGTGAAAAATAATATAATTGGTTATATACTGCATAGGAACCCAGTGTGAAGAATCAGATGTAAAACAGAACATTATTTTTCTTATTCCTTACTTCTATTTCTAAATTAAGCTTTCCAGGAACATCAAAAACCAATTAAATTTCTGTTGATGACTTTATAACAGATATACAAAAGAGCAAAATTTTTGTTGTTGTTATGCAGTTTGATCTGTCATAAGCTTTTAAAGTAAAAATAACATCCAAATTTTCTGTACAACGTACATATTATTCCCCCCCCTTTTTTACACCCCTTATTAAGATTAATAGGACTTTTACTCAAGGGAAAGTGAGCGCAAGACTGCAGCCTTACCTTTGTACTATTTTAAAATAGCATCAGTTAAAGAAGAAACAACACAGCTTTGCCCTGCAGGTGTTTTTGTAGAGAGTAGTTCAAATGCTAACGTAGTCCAGAAAGAAAATCTGCATTATTAAAACGTGTAATAGACACAATCACTTAAAGAGCGTGTCACTAATGAAATAAGTATTTGTGTGTAATAATTACACAGGCATGTGTTCTTGCCATTTCTTTTCCTTCTTTCCATATTAATGTGCTGCCTTGAAGGAAGGACATCCTGTGATGATGGCATACAATGTCCTGTTTGTCTATTATGAAGTACATTAGACCTCGCATTCCTATTTCTCATTACCAAACAAACCAGATGCATAACTTCCTTTAGTGGTCCTGGCCCTTCAGTGTGGAATCCTTCAGCTCACAACAATTGCGAGGTCGCATAGCTCCATGCACAGTCACACATAGTATCAAAAATACCAAGTCAGTTCAACAAAGGACAAGTCTCCTACTTTTCCTTTTTACCTCGCATCTTCAGACATGTTTATTTTACTGTGCCTTTCCTCTTGCGTAGGAAGGAACCTGTTTTGACTTGTTTTAAAAATACAAGTAAGTGTGTATGTGAGGATTTTTGTTATTTGGAGAACCAATCTCTGATTTTGTTTTAACATACAGGTCATACCATAGATTTCTGAAGTTCTTGAAGTTGTGAAGATGAACAGGATTATTTGTTTGTCTAGAGATGACACAGTACAGAGAGTAGCATTTATCTGTGTAAAGACTTCTAACATATTCTAATCAAATATTCACAGATCACTGGGCATTACTAAGACATAGTATCAGACAAGTACCTGATAAGTCAACAAAAGAATTGACAGAGTTTATGCAAATTATGGAATATGCAATAGGAACAAACATTCAAAACAAAAAAAAATATCAATTTTGATAACTGATGATGAATCAGAAGTTTGCTACATACTCAGTATTTTGTACTCAAATATAAAATTGTGGCTTCTATATTATGAGATAGCTTGCACCTTACTACCTTCCTGTAATTACAGGTAGTCCTTGACTTACAACAGTTTATTTAGTGACTGTTCAGAGTTACCACAGCACTGAAAAAAGTGACTTACGAGCATTTTTCACACTTATGACCATTGCAGCATCCCCATGATCAGGTGATTTATATTTGGATGCTTCACAACTGACTCACATTTATGACGGTTGCAGTGTCCTGGGATCATGTGATGACCTTTTGCAGCCTTCTGGCAAGCAAAGTCAAACCAGATTCACTTAACAACCATGTTACTAACTTCATAAGTGCAGTGCTACAGTTAACAAATGTAAAGTCATAAAATGGGGCAAAACTCCCCTCACTTAATGAATTTCTCACTTAGCAACATAACTTTTGGGCTCAATTGTGTTCGTAAGTTGAGGACTACCTGTACTTCAAAGTCTGTGAATGTGGGAAAACTGGATAAACCAAACAGAAGCTACAGATAAACTCTCCACAGTACCATAATAAACTATAATGGTCAATATGGCTGTCTGATTCTAATCTTGTGAACAGCACAAACAAGGGGGGTTATTTCTGCATACAGCTCTACTAACAGGGATAGATCATGTATGGCCAATATGACTTCCCATGGAAGCATTACAGATCCCAGTGCACAGTATAATCTGAAACTGCTTTGGTGTAGGAAGCAGCTATGCTTCCCAGCCCAGTCATGCTCCTTCTAACATGAATGACCTGACTCACTTTAATATTCAGATACTCTTCACTCAACAACCACAAATGGTTCTGGCAACTTCATTGTTAAATAAAGCAGCCGTTTAGTGAAAATCATGCAACTGCAACCTTGCTTACAATTTTACCTCAGCTTTTCTTTGCTTCTTGCTACTTCCTTCAGCTGAACTGGGGTTCTTTCTCTTTCTCTTTCTCTTGTAGGGTGAATAAGCAAATAAAAATAAAAATGGGTTACATATGGTTGCCATTAATCTGTGTGTCAATGTTTAATTTAGAATTTGCAGGATGGATTCCAAAGAGAAATGCCAGGACTCTAGTGAATCTTGAAAAAGATTTCTTAAGAAATTGTCCCTGAATATACTTACAATGTCAGAAGGATATGATCCCAAACAGGTGGGTGAGCCCAAATGGTAGAAAAGGTTTCAAATCATGACAAAAATGGGGAAAAGGGCAAACCTTACAGCTCTTTTCCTCCAGCCCTTTGGAATGCTCATCCCAGCATTAAACAAAATTTAGATGCTGAAAAAAAGAACATGGTGGCTTTAAGAACCGTGACACATGGTGACTGTTCTAAAGGCAATTAATTATTCTAATCAGGACTAGTGTTTTCCTTAGCGATATTGGATACCATGAAAAACAGCATAATTAATAAACAAAATTATTCCATTTGCTTGCTGCCTTAATTGGGAAAGCAACTCCAAGTGAGATGCATAAAAAAGATTAAGAAACAATAATACAATAATAAATTGTAAACTTTCTGCACATTGGGAAAATAAAACAAGACCTAGTAATTCATAATTTTTACCTATTTGCTACCTTTTGACAGGCAGGCTTTCCATGCCTCTCTCCTCAGTTAGAGACTGCCACCTACATGGGACATGGAAACAGGCCTTTTCAGTTGCAGTTCTTTAGAACAGGAGGATATTCAAATGGCTTCCTTCTAGTTTTGAAAAAAAAAAATAGCGAAAACTTGGTTATTCCATCAAGCCTTGGTGGTTGAGCTGTTGGGACTACTCTGTCAGATAATGAATTAGTTTGATGGAGCAACTCATAATCCCTCTAAATAAATGAAATTGATCACTCCACAGAATGGATCACAATCTACTACTCTCCTTGAGGGCCTATTTAAAGAGCCAGGTTGTTGCAAAAGCATAACAGGGCAGGGCCACATGGGCTTGTGGGGGGGGGGAATGCTGGCCTATAAAGCAGGTGTAGTAATAGAGAAGTTTATTTCCTAAGTCCCACAAAATGACATTTCTTTACAAAAGGCACCTCCAACAAATCAATTTTGCCAGATCTTACTGAATAGACAGAAGTACGGTAGCTGGGGAGCTGGTTTCATCAGTATCCAGATCCTAATTTTATGAAAATCTTTATATGGAATAATTAAATACCTTCAATACTTGAATTGTTTCCAGAAGTAACTCAATAAAAATAGTCCTCATTTAACAACACTAACTGGGATAAGAAACTCGATCATTGAGCAATATGGTGGTACGTTGAAAAACCATGTGGGTACATTACTTAGTGACAATAGTTCTGGCAGTCCTGGTTGCTGTTGTTAAACAAGGACCACCAGGGTTGTTAAGCAAGGACTTCACATGACAACTTCCTGCTGACTTCCCCATTGACTTTGCTTGTGAAAAGCTGGCAAGGAAGGTCACAAGTTGTGATCAGGTGACTCTGGGATGTTGCAACAGCCATAAATTCAAGATCCAGTTCTAACTATCCTAAA